TCTGATCAATGCAGAATTGACACATGTAAACTGTAAACTTCTCATCAGTGACAATGTAGCAACTGCAAACAGTGTGTCGTTTAGAAAGAAACTTGAACAGTTCAGTGCACAATCTGGCAAGGCTTGACTTGAGGTTAAGACAAGAGTCCGATGCCCTTCAAGAGCCTCTCGCTCTGAATCAGATAGTGCCAGGTGCTCCAGAGCCGCACTATTGCCCGAGGACATACGAAGGCAAATGTGACAACTGTGACAAATCCACAGTAGCTGTGAAAGTAGCTGTGAAAGTAGCTGTGAAAGTAGCTGTGAAAGTGAGTGAGTCGATCGACAATGCGTCATCATTTTTCAGTCATTAGAATTATATCTTTACTTGTCATCATTTTTCATTATAACCTTATATTGTCCACATGTATGCATTTACTCCGAAGAAATGTTTGCTTGACATATCTGTCGTCTGAGTCGGAAAATGGCAAACATTGTCAATGTCAGATGTCTCATGCATCAAACACTTCAATGAAAGACTCTCTGAACAAATTAAAGTCTTCACTTTGCTAGTTCAGTGAGCTGTTGTATTAACTAATCATCATGTCCCAGATTGGTGATCCGACTTGAGCTTGGCACCACTAACCAAGAACTGGCAGAGAAGACAATGTATAGACCTTGATCAGCCTGGCAGCAGATTCCGAAAGAACTGTATGGAACAAAGTGGAAACCATTTATTAAACTATGGAGCTACTTGGATATGTCATATTGAACAGCAGTAGCCAATATCTAACTAAAATAAATGCCATAAGCTTGTGGACACATGTCACAGTCACAAGTCTCATAAGACCACACCTCATTGGTAAGAGCCTGGGCACAAGAATAAGTTTGATACAAGTTCAGACCCAGTGAATCAGTGAATGAGAAATGACACAAGTAACACGTAACTAAACATCATCATTCACTGGATTCTTGACTGAGCTCTCCACATCTCCAAATAGTTCCACACCTTGGCCAGCAGGAACTTAAACATGTGCGACATATATAAAATAAAACTGCTGAAAGATCTTGACATCAAGTGCATATTCAGACAAAAGTTCGGAACAACATTGAATCACAAGTGTGTCTTTGCTTCGTCCTGTTTTTTTCTCCATCTGATCCCCTGACAATTGCTCATGCCTCACAGTCTGTCGCTACTATCGACCACACACAGACAAACTAGGCATAATTAACTTGGCACCATTGGTGCAACATGACATGTGTCTAACAAAAATATCACCATTTTCAGTGACATTTGACACAGTCACAGCACATAGCAAAGTACATATGTGCAATATACAAAAGGACATTAGACGCAATCATCTTCCACCACTTGAGTGTCATCCCAATCATCACCATATTGAGGTACAGTTTGAGGAATCTCATCATCACCATCATGACAACAGAAATCATCAGGTGGCTCAACCTGGGAATCTGTAACCCACTCACCATGACACATGTGACCACCAGGATCTGGAGAATTCTGAGACCCCACTGGCTCTGACACATCTGCACCCTTCTCCTCAAGAAACGCATTCGACCTTCTGAGCGACTTGCACGGCGACTGGAACGAGGGGCAAGTCTTCCTCTTACCCTTGCCCTCAAGAGTGCCAAACACTTGTACAGATTTGTTCGGGCCACGCATAGTGATGGTAATATTCCATGGTCCATCCTGATGACAAGAGTTCAGAAACAAATTGAACTCTACAATGATATTGTGGGGAATCTACTGACATATGAGTTTCGACATTGGGCATCCACAAAAACAAAATTCTTGTCTTAGATGCAGCATGTGCTAAATGAAAAAATGAAATATTGTCACTGACGAACATCAGACCAGGGACAGGCAGCGGCTCAGCATCACTGACAAGACATCTGTACTCACCTGTGCGCCACTTGAGGACATCCATGACACTTGTCCCCGTCACCTTTTCCAAACCCTTCTGCGTGTCCCCCTTGGAAAGAAGATCAACTGTCGCCATGAGACACAGCTGACAAATGTAACAAATGATCTGGGGACAAATGATTTGTGGTGAACTGCGCCTGGGCCACAAAGATAACGCAGGACATAACAAGTGCTGCAAGAATATGTTTGTATAACAAGTGAGGACCATGATAACTGGTGTCAAACAAGGCAGTGAAGAGGTGAAGAGTGCTTGTAGTCACTCACAAAATCTACATGAATCAAACGGATCTAACATGAGAAACCACATAACACAATCATTACAGAAACCTACTACTGACACATGAAGAACAAGTGTCCACACTTGAGGTCTGCACTGCCCCACGCATCCAAAGATCCCAAAGAGCACCTGGCAAACGTCAAGCTAAGTGCACTCACATGTGTATGCCAGGATTGGGGGTATGGATGAATGCTGCGAGGGTATGGGTAACTGACACTTGACCAGTCAAGTTTCATTTTATGTTCCGCCCCGCCCCCCTTCTTGACATGTGCAAATTCAAAGACAAACTTGCCAACCCCTAGAAATTGTGTCAGGACAGTCGACCCTGAATTGATGTTTTCCAGTATGCCCAGTATGCACTAAGAAAGAAACTCAGACAATTGCTGCACTTCTGAAAGGCTCATGTTTTAAAGTTCCCCTTCACTCCCAAGCTTCCAAGCTTCAAGAAGAAGCACTTATTGTTGTCACACATGACACATGAGCACACTCTGAAAGCAGAAAAAGACACAAATTCTTTTTTGACATGTAAAACTTGTTTATTTGACTACCGCTCTTTGCAAAATGAACACATGTCATCATCAAATAAAATTGGATATATGTGCCATTGTGTCAAACTGTGGACAAATGTCTCGAGCTGCCTTTGTTCAAGTCAAGCCTTGTGCTCAACCAACGTTGGACATATGTTATCACGAACTAAGGTACACATGTATCGGAGGCGAGGGTGGAATGGCCGGAATCACAGCATCAAGCTCCGTAGGCCTCAAGTAGATCCCCCACGCCTCAACACAGATTTGTCCTGAGCGCAGGCCATGCTGAGAAATGGAAAGTTGTGCCACTGGGACTTCAAAAAGTAATTTCTGTTCAAAAACCAAAGCACAAAAACATGTCATGTGTCCAAAATAAAGTGCTATTGAAGAGGGAAGGCACCATCGACGACAACAAATGTGTGATCCTGGTTGAAGGACAATTGTACATTGAAGAGCCTTCCACAGTAGGGGACAACTGTGACCTGAGCAGGCACGTTCTCATCGAGCCACGACACATGACGCTGCAGCGACGTGCGGCGACGCCGAGGGTTCCGATTGGCCCACTCAATCGCATCATGGAGCAGGTAGAGCTGTGCACTCCTTAGGGTGCAAAGCAAAATCACAAATGAGAACTAACACATGTACTGGAATATTTCAAGAATCATGTGTGGATCCAAGCTATGGATGCACCACTTATAAAAATCCAAACCTTTCAAGAACAGACTAGAAAAATATACTCATGTCAAAGGACAACAAGTCACTTCAGACACGGGTTGTCGGCACATGAGTCACAATTGATCGCAAAGGCGCCTTCATCATATGTCCTTAATGACAGTTTTCCACCAAGTCTTAAAATTGAATGAAACAATGACATTCTATTCGAATGAAACCTCACCAAATCTCTCTTCCAAAGAATTTGACCCAACTGTCAACATGAAAGTAACATCGTGCAACTATTTTATTTTTTGGTTCAACAATAAAAAGGAAAATGTTGACCTCAAAAACAAGTGACTCCCTGTGGACTTCTGGCACTGCTGGATAGTTGTTGGACAATTGTATCGCCAACTGTAACCCCCTTGGTTGTCAAGTGGTTGCCATCAATGGCATCCCCATAAATAAAAAACACCAATACCAAAAACAGTTGGCAAACCAATTATTTAACACATCCACTTTGAATTTCAACCATCAAAATATACAGTTCTAGTTTATCAAGAAGTAACTGACGCGTATCATTGCGTGGATCTGGAACTGGGCGGTGCAATGCCTCTGTTACAAACCGGACACCGGTGTCACCCAAGCCACACAAGTACTCAAAGACCAACGGCGTCGCCACTTGCGACTCAACCATACGAATGCGGTCCCCATGTCTAGCCATGACAAATGACCACAGATGAAACCAAAAAAAAGTCTATGGCAGCTTGGGACAAATGTCTGCATTGATCGGCCAGGGATGTCAAAAACATGACTTGCTACTGCCAGAGATGTCAATGACATGAATGAGGAATGAAATAAAACACCTTATTTTTGAAAATATGTACAATATTTTTTTTTAAAAAAAAAAACATGGTTGTTACAACTGACTAAGCAACTCCTCAGGCACAAAACAAGCCAGTAGCACCTGTGTCGAAGAGATGTTGTTCAAGTCCACAATGAAGCAGCGGCGGGGCAAGACGGTGTAAGAGGGAAACAAACGAAATTAAGGTACAATATGTTGTTGACACATGTCACCACTTTCTACTTATTTATATTATACTTGTTAGGACATAAATTTGAATTTGTACATAAACCATGCCATGTTTGTATTGGGGATTTGTTAATTTTGCATATGCATATGGGATAATCAACCAGAGGATATCAAATATTTCAATTTCATGCAATTCATATCATATGATATCATATGAATATATAGTTTTAAATAACATAAAGTCTCTGCAAACAAAATGTGGCAAAACAAAACTGTAGCTGCAAACAGTTGACTTGAAAAGAAAACAAACATGTGGGTGACGTGATCTTGTTCGATTAAGTCTTCTTATTCAAAACTTTTTTTTCTCAAAATTTCTCTTTTTCCCATGTTTTCTCATATTTTCCAATGTTTTCCCATGTTTTCCCATGTTTTCTCATTTTAAAACTCTTTATAACTCAAAATCTCTCAATATAACTCTTGAAAAAACCTACCCTATCCAGAACCCACCTAGGTCAAGGTAGCACATTACAATTGGTGATTGAAGATGAGCACACCCTGGAGGAGCACTTCGGCGTTCATGGGGTGTGGATGACGACGCATGAGTCCCAAGAGAACGAGCTGGGTGGTGACTATGGAGCTGAGGTCGGCTTGGCCTACGATGCATGGTCGCCTGAGAAGACTATGCTGGCAATAGCCGATACGGCTTGCACAAAGACAGTGGCGGGCCATCAGTGGTACGAAGAATACTGCGCCTGGGCTGACGCCAACCATGTCAAGGTGGAGCCCGTGGAAGAGCGGGACAGCTTCAAGTTTGGGGCCTCTCGAGTGCATCCATCTCCATTTGCAGTCTGGGCCCATTTTGGGATTGGTGGACATCACGTCCGCATCAAGGTGGCCGTCGTCCAGTGCAAGGTGCCCTTGCTCTTCAGCCGTGGAGTTCTGGCAAAGCTTGGCATGGTCTACCGGGTGGACGAGCAGCGAGCAGATCTTTTACGACTGCACTTGCGCAATGTCGAGATGCAGCTCTCTGACACAGGGCACCCTGCCTTGGTGGTTTCTGATTTTCCTGAAGACTTTTGCCCCGCTGGACATAGCTGGACAACTGATCCAGAAGTCAGCGTGTTGGAGGCATCCAGCATCGAGCAATATGTGGCGGAGTCTTCGGGGGGCCGGGAACATGAAGCTTGCAAACATCCTCTTTTTTACCCAAAGAAGATTGCCTCTGAAGTTTCAAACATGCTGATGCATCCGAAGTTGGCATCGAACTCATTTTTCATGTGGTGGAAACGTGCAAACCATGTAGGGATTTTTGGATTGAAACGGAAGCCGAGCTGATCAGAGTGCATGTGGTGCCACGGAAATCACATTTCGACCCATCATCATGGAATACAAGTTTGGTAGATCTCAAAGAAAAGCTTCTGCATCGACTTGGGTCACATTGTATCACAGAGGCACTGGCATGTCAAGGTGAAGGTGTGCAACTACATGTTTTTGAAGGTCCATGGCATCAATCGTTGGACACCAAACTTTTTGATCAAGTTGGAGGACTTTGGATTGGTCGCAGCCGTTTTCCCAAGCGGTTCTCAAGAGGCTCTGCTCAGCCCGGTGAAGAGCGTGAGGCCTCCGGGAATGCCAGCACAGCCCTTGTCACCATGGCGGATGAATCGCCCCGAGCTGTTGGTGGCACTGGATGCGCTGCAGATTCCGGTGCACCCTCGGTGGACTGTGCCCGAGCTGTGGCAGACCCTGATCGAGCAAACCAGGGTGGAAGTGGATGTGACCCCGTTGGCTCTGAAAGGCCTGTCAAAGATGAATCTGGCCGACCTGAAGACCCGGTGCGACGAGGAGGGTGTATCCCTTCCGGAGAAGCCCACCAGAGGTCTGATGATCAAGCTGTTGAGGGAGAAGGTGCAGCCAGCGGGGGAGCAAGTGGTCACATTCGGCAAGTACAAGTCTTGGATGTACAAGGAGATCCCCGAGGCTTACCTCAAGTGGGCAATCAAGGAGACCGACGCCAACGCCAACGCAAGCCCGGACTTGGTGAAGTTGGCACATTGGGCCAAAGAGGACCTGGAGAAACGGGCCACACAGGCCAGGGTGGCTGGGGCGGTGCCGGCTTCCGAGGATCCGGAAGTGAAGGCGAAGTATCCGCCACCACCGATGAGCCTGTCGGGGAGTTCGGCATCATGGTCTGTGGTGAGCGGAGGTTACACCAGCCAGAGGGGAAAGGGAACACCCATTCCGAAGAGAGACGCGGCCACTATGGACGCGGCTCGCATTGCCGAGATGGACATGGAGCTGCCGGAGGAAGCCCAAGCAGAGATGCTTCGTCTGGAAACGGAGATGGCCCTGATCCGACAGAAGTACAACCAGAGCAAGAATCAGGGCAGCTGATCAACGACGAGGAGGTCTCTGTGAATGTGGAGGCTATCGGGCTTGGCAAGCATGAGTATAAGGAGACAGTCGGGCTCGGCAAGTCGGCGGATGTGGACACTTTTGAGTATAAGGACATGATCGGGCCTGGCAAGACAAAGTATGACATTGCTCCGGATGAGCATGCGGGTGGTGCTGGTGTGAAGTGGTGGCCGGGATCTAGCTTTTGGAGCCCCGAGTCGGAGGAGTCGGAAGATTTGAGATCGCCTCGCAAAAAGGCAAAAGATGGCATGAAGAGGCGGAAGATGAACTCCAGCACCAAGCGGAAGCTTCAGCACACCATCAGGATCTAACGATGCTTCTTGAACAATGACTTCAACAAACGACAACATTATAGAAATGACGATGTCGTTTGTAGACAATGTGTCGCATGCCATGACATGGCATGGCTGTATCCAGTCATGCTTAGCGGTGAGAAGAAAAGAATGAATATTATATATATTATATATTATATTATATACTTTTTGTTCAGTTCAGGCGACATCGGTGACGGTGTAGAGCGCGTCTAACGCATACGACAATGTTACCGCTTTCCCATATGTGGCAGTTGTAAGAAAAATTCAAATCACAATTCAAGTTGAAAATATCTATCTTGACTGCAAAGGATGGTTTGCTTTAAGTGGAAAAATGCCTTTGAAGTTTTTGCAGTTTCGAACGACATCAGTGCAGGTTCGAGCGACATCGATGATGCTGCAAAGCGCGTGTAGCGCGTGCGACAATTTTGCTGCTGTCGGCTATGATATATATCAAAAAGTTTGGACTATCATAGCATCTACTCATGAACTACATTTATGTATGTTTAAGGTCTTTTGAACTTTTACCTTTCTGAATCTATCTTCGTTATTTCAGGCGACATCCGTGCAGGTTCGAGCGACAGCGGTGATGCTGTAGAGCGCGTGTAGCGCGTGCGACAATTTTGCTGCTGTCGGCTATGATATATATCAAAAAGTTTGGACTACATAGCATGCACTCATGAACTACATTTAAGTATGTTTGAGTTCTTTTGAACTTTTACCTTTCTGAATTTATCTTCGTTGTTTCAAGCGACAGCGGTGCAGGTTCGAGCGACATCGGTGATGCTGTAGATCGCGTGTAACGCGTGCGACAATTTTGCCGTTGTCGGCCGCGTGCTTGCACAACGTATATATATATATATATGTATGTATACACATATATATGTGTGTATATATATATATATTTATACATTTTTTGGAAAGAGTAAGTGCATCAGTATGTACCTATTATTTTGTTCTTCATGAAGTTTTCGTTTTGGGTTAAATGATTTTTGTTGTTTTGATGTTTCGAGCGAGATCGGTGCAGGTTCGAGCGACATCAGTGATGCTGTATAGCGCGTGTAACGCGTGCGACAAGTTTGCCGCTGTCGGCCGCGTGTATATATTCAAAAGCTCTACTACATATATGCATAATAAAGACATATGCCTTAAACTTTCCTTGATAAATGTTTTTACCTTTTTAAATTAGGATTTTGTTGTTTCGAGCGACATCGGTGCAGGTTCGAGCGACATCGGTGATGCTGTAGGGCGCGTGAAACGCGTGCGACAATTTTGCCGCTATCTGTTGTGTGAAAGAAAACCAAGAGTTTGGCTATAAAGTTTCTATCCTTTATGACTGTATATATGGTTTCTATTAGGTTTAAGTTTAAGTTTTTGAGTGCGACTTTTTTGCTGAAAGAAACGGAGAAAACAACAAGCGCATTTGTTTTTAAGAACCTTGTGGGAACTTTGTTGCAGGCTCTATGACATGCAAGCATCACCCTTGCAGTGTGAATAGCGGGGAATAACTAGACTCCTTGAATGGCACAGGGTTGTGCCTCTTTGTTTGGGCACAGGGAGCATAGACAGCACGTGACTCACAAAGACCTGCGCCGTTCACCTCTTCAAGCAGTTTAGGTTGAACCAGTCAAGCTTGAGCCAATATATTCAAAAACATAAGTTGGGTGAACTTAACTTAAACCAACTCCACCCAAGATCCCAAGATACGGAAGAGGCAACATACTTTAACCATTTCAAAGGGTGGTAGTGGTAAACAGATTTTGTCGTAAACCAACATGTTTATACATGTTTACAAACCACGTTTATTTTGGGACAAAGCCAGGTTCTGGTGAGTTGGTTTGGGTTGGCCAACTTCAAAATCTTCAAATCATTTGGGCCGTCACCCCAAGGATGGATTTCCAAAAATGTTGCAGTCAAAATGCAACCTGAAAAAAACGATACTTTCCATCAATACCCATCATCGCTTCGCTTGATGCTGCAATGGTTTGCACTGCTGCATTTTTTTTTGGCTCGTGGCGCTGGCTGTCACTTGGAGTTGAATCCCCAAGCCCCAAGCAGGACATGTCGCTTCACCCCATGGTCTTGTTGCATCATCGAAAAATGGTTGTTCTTGTTGTTGGTGGTAAAAAAAATGAAAATTATTGTATAGTAACACAGCTAGACCTCACCCATTTGAAGCGATGTCCTTGGATCTTCGCCTATGGTTCTCCAAATAAAGGGCTAAACAAATCAGATAACGAGCTATGATACGGCTTGTCATGGTGCGACCATGGCATTGCTTTGCAATGCATTTTATTTTGCCTAGCCATGACTCTTCACCAAAGCAATGGAACAGAAATGGATTTATTCTCCACTGTCGTGTTTGCACTGCCTGATGCCATATGTAATGGGCCTTAGGCGTCATTCGAAACATGAAGGGTGTATCTTCCACCCCATGGTGGCATGCAAGGTATTGAAAACTTCGCAAGTGCTGGTGGAGCGCATCAGCTGCTTCTCTGGCACGCCTCTTCGATAGAAGGAGGCCACCGCCGTCACAAATTTCGATAGCACGGTTGATGGTCCAGGCTGCAAATGCCAGTGTCTGAAGAAGGGAATCCTCGGGCACCCATTTTTCCCCAACACAATCTAACATCTTCAAACAGCTGATTTGGGCTCTCATGGGGATTGGGGGCATATGGACTGAATCAATTACAGAATGACATTTGGGAAACATTTGACAACCGCTTATGAAAGTTCAAAATCCATTGTTTGGATTGCGCTGCTACAGTTTTTAAATGTATATTTGATAGGTTGGATTTGCCCCTGAAGTTTAGAAATGTTTAAAGTCAACAACATCATAGAATTGAAATGTCTGGACACTTTACCAAAATGAACAAGTAATACCCAGTAGACAAAACTAAAACTGTCAGAGTTTCCCCTGGGGAAGCATTGGCAGCCGAACTGGTTCGCATAGCCAACCACCAAAGAAGACTTTTGCAGTGGGAAGCTTTGAAAATGGACCCCAAGATTGGCACATCGTTTTTGCCTGGGAAACAATGGCTTTTGAGAATTCCCGGTCCACTGTAGTACAGCCTTAGTGTTGGGCAGGAAGCCAGTGTAACAGATTGGGTTCATTTTTGGGATGGCTTCAAAAAGGAAACACACCAACAGTCACCAACAAAACTAAACCAACATCTAGAAACTTCAAATCCTTGAAATCCTTGTGAATATCCATCGTGATGTAAGCGAACATGGCTGATGAATCTCTGTCAACGCCATAAGAATCGAAGACACCATGGTGTAGCAGCAGTCGGATAGCTGAAGCTATGAAGATACGAGACGTACCCAGGAAACAGTTGTGCATGAAGTCGAAAACAGTGTTTGTAAGGGACCATCCTGGTACAACGTGCCAAGGGGATGGCGGATGGGTTGCCATGTAAGTTGAATGGTCCAAGACGGTCAGCTGGTACGACGCCCCTGCCCTCATGTCTTTGAAATTCATCTTTGGGTCTCCCTTTTTGGATGGTTTTTGTGCAAAGCATTGGTCGCATAGCCTGGGCTTGTCTGGGTTTTCCAAAAACAAAAAATTCAATGTCCTACAAGGTTCCCCATTTCAGATTTGGGATAAACCAGTGAACGCATTCCCAAATAGGAAAAGGAACATGGTGCATGCGTACCACCTGTCAAAATTGTGGACCTCCATGCGGGCCTTCAGATCGGATTTCCAACAAAAGTAGGTTGCCCTCAGTGGTGCTGTTGCGAACCACATGCATGGCATAAAACACAAATGAAACAAGCCCCCATAGCAAAAGATTGAAAAACTCTTGAAAGAATGCAAGTGTCCGATAGCCTAATGCAAGGGGTTTTCCTGAAATCTCACTCCGCCAGGTTTTTGTTGGGAACTGTTCCCCATAAAACCCAACCTTTGGGGCCACACCAGAAGCTGAATGTTTCAGACTCCACGCGCAGAGTTCTGCCACAATTTTGCTGACTCCAAGCTTCACCTGGGCGACAAGCAGCGTGAATCAAAAACAAGTTAAACCACACATGGAATAAATTCCACACATTGTTTTTTCCCAGCGTGCTACTTTTAGAGTCTTGCCGCTACAGTAATTTAGTATGGCATTCAACACATAAAACTATACCCGCTTTTGAATCCAACAACCCAAACAATCATGGGGCTGACCCTTGGGATGCTTTTGGGATGATCCTTTCATAGAAAACAAACAATTGCTATTCGCAGAAAGAAACTTGTTCTTGCTGGATGTCCCGTTCAGCCACTATCAGAATTGGAAACCTGTACAACATGACGTCTGTCTCTAAGCCAGACCCTGCAAACAAACTTGACCATGAATACACGAAGTACTCGCTGTCCCTGTACATCTCTGCACCATCACCGTGTATTTGCACACCTATCAGTTTGGAAAACTCTTGAGTAGCATCTTGTAGATCCGGATGGTTCTTCCATGGTTCGAGGGTACGCGCATGTAGCCAGAATTGTTTGATGTCCTCTGCGTTTGTGTTACCCAACAGTAAACTCTCAAAGGCCATCTTGGCATCACATGTGGCAAGTGCGTGGATCACCTCATGCGGCAACAAGCAACTGCAGGTTACCGTAGCTTCCCTGATGCCATTCACCTGGGCGGTTGGGCGATTAGCTGTATAACCTCCTGTCAAAATCTGTCAAATACAATCACAAAAACTTTCCCCAAAATGGTACCTAAGGGAAGGCCCAAGAAGCTTTCAAAGGAACTTGGATTTGGTAAGGCTGCAGTTTTAGGTTGAAAAGGTTACCCATCCAGCAGTGCAAATCACGTTCGGCATTGGGTTGACATTTTCCAAATGCACCTAGACTTGCTAGCTTGGTAACAGTTTCATTTTCCACCCCATCCTGGAGCACAGCTCTAGCTATGTCAGTAGCACAAGCGATATCGATACGACCACGGCCAACCATATCCAGCAGTTGCTCCACACTATAGCTCCATACCATCTCATTGATCTTTCGTCGTTTCAGTGGCCTGGATTGGAGAAAACTGCATTTGTTTTGAACAAAATGAGATTTCCTCACTGTTTAATTGAACTGTTTTTGGTTTGAATAAAATGAGACTCCTCGCTGTTTAGTTTAGTTGACAATGACTGAACTGTCTTTGATTTGAACAAACTGAGATTCCTCGTTGTTTATAAATGACAATGACTGAACTGTCTATGATTTGAACAAAATTAGATTCCTCGCAGATTAGTTGACAATGACGGAACTGTCTTTGATTTGAACCAAATGAGATTCCTCAACTTTTAGATGACTGCCTTTGTTTTGAACAAAATGGGACTTCCCATGCAAACCAACCCAGGCTGCAGGCCTAGGAGTCTCAAAGTGTAGCCCGGATGCACCTGGCCGAAAGATATATGTATATTGTTATTATATATATATGTATGGCATTATGAACAGGTCAACAATCTCCAACAGGTAAAGAAGAGGTGTAGGCTCTAAGTTGGGTAACCCAGCACTGGTCACACCATTTTTTCTTGAGTTCACCTGAGAGTCGGGTGATTTTTGCTGCACCCCGGGTAGGTGGTTCAAAGCGCTTCGACAGAGCATCGCACTTGGTATCAGGCCGGGTGCACAAAGATGAGACAAAGCAGTGTTGGAGAGAAATGAACGCTAAATTGAACATCTTGTTAACAAGTTTATTTGTTGAACTCTTCTTGCACATTGGCCACCAGCAGTGCCGCTAAACCCACATTTGAACATCCAAAATCAAACGCATTGCATTTGAAAACCACTTTTGTAAAGGTTTTAGATCCTACTCTTTTTTTGCCTTGCTCTTCCTGGGGCGCTTGTTGCCCTCATCGTTCCTCTTCCTGTTGGCACGCTTCAGTCCGCTGAGAATAGAGTCTGCTGCTGCCTGCCAGATGGGATTTGGGAACTACTGTCCTTAGCCTTGTCTGGGGTCCTACCTCTTGGTGTCGAACCTTTGTCGGGATATCCAAATATACATAGAGATATAGGCGTATGAATATTAAAATAGGTAGATATATTTGGTGTGAATAAGTATTTACAAGTGCTTATGCATATATAGATGTCAACACATTTTTACCACACATTCACACCACCTGTATGTATGTAGTAGTGTATGTATGTATGGAGGTATGTATGTACGTATGTACGTATGTACGTATGTACGTATGTACGTATGTACGTATGTACGTATGTACGTATGTACGTATGTACGTATGTACGTATGTACGTATGTACGTATGTACGTATGTACGTATGTATGTATGTATTGTATGTAGGTATGTATTGTATGTATGTATGTATGTATGTATGTATGTATGTATGTATGTATGTATGTATGTATGTATGTATGTATGTATGTATGTATGTATGTATGTATGTATGTATGTATGTATGTATGTATGTATGTATGTATGTATGTATGTATGTAGTATGTATGTATGTATGTATGTATGTATGTATGTATGTATGTATGTATGTATGTATGTATGTATGTATGTATGTATGTATGTATGTATGTATGTATGTATGTATGTATGTATGTATGTATGTTATGTATGTATGTATGTATGTATGTATGTATATTTATTTATTTATATCTAGACATGTAGACATTTTGAGATGCAAATCTGAATGTACATACGTTGACATGTATTTACATGTATATATATATACGTATGTAAATATATATATATATACATATATATGTATATATATACAAGAGGCTTTACACAGAAATGTGTTGGCATCTGATTTGGTTTTGCCTGAGAAGAACAAAAATTGTATACTTATTTTATGCAATCCTTTAGACAACCATATCCCCACCCGTTGTTCAGAGGCTGGCCTCTGCTGTGACAAACCACGCGCGATCCTTCTCAACCTTTTTGAAGCATCTCTGGTAGAAGTCATCATCATCCAGGTTTGCACTGACTGCCGTTTGAAGGGTCTTGTAGTGCTTCTCCATGGTTTCGGCATGGCTCAAAAGCTGGGCACATAGCTCTCCTGCGTAGTTCACTGACCCCAAAGACATACTCTTTTTGCGGGCTGTGGTGCTCTCTGTGAGAACAGCCCCCATAAGATCAGTGGCTTTCTGGATCATGGTCTTGGGCTGGACTTCCTCAGATTTCTCCTCAGTGTTGGGCTGTTGCCTCCTTTTCTTTGGGGCTTGTTGGACACCTTCTCCGGTCAAACCTTCCAGCAAAGCTTTCTGCCCAGCTGGGTTGCTGACTTGCATGTTCGGTAGCTGCCCTGCTTGAAAGGCACCATCCTCTCCCACCAAGCATTTAACCATGTTGTCGTCAAGTTCAATCTCTCCACTGAGCCTCGTTTGGTCCTCAGTCAACTCTTTCTTGGTCACCTCCCGCGCTTTGCGCATGTAGTACATACGTTCCAAGTGGTCATCAGGGAAGTCCTCGCTGTCATAGTACAACCCATCTTTGGTTCTTCGGTCCATGAGGACCCTGGCCTTTTCTTCCCCGTAGTCCTTCACGAGCTGGGATCCCTTGACTGCTATCCATCCACTAAGACTTTCATTTGAAGACTTTCGGGTGCGCTCCATGATCATCCGGCACTTGTCCCAAGAGCGGTTGGCATCCAACCAAGCCCCGAACAAATCAGTTTTTGATTTGACCAGGTAAGGGGCCAGATCAGCAGGGAATGCCTTTCGGTTCTGGGTGGCCCTGATGAAGCAGTCCCATTCTTTCTTGTTGGTCGTACCTTATGTGTGGGCAGCTGGGAAAAGAAAGAAAATGGTCAAAATGTGAGTGAACCGAACTTGTACAAGGTTTTTTGCTGGTAAAATGCATGTCAAATAGTCATAGTTAATAGGAAGGGCAAGAGGCTGTTTCGAACCAGGGCCGTTGACTTTTCGGTATTCTGAGCAACGATTGCAAGACTCTGCGTGTCCTTGTTGTCCTTGTCCTGCGTGTCCTTGTTGTCCTTGTCCTTGTCATTGCCCTGGGTTGCCATAGGGGTCACCGGTTGGGAAGGCTGCCCATCTTCCTCAGATGATTCATCTTCGCCGTCATCATCACCACTAGGCTCGTCGCTGTCCTCATCATTGGACCCGTCATCAGACCCATTGTCAGAGGCGTCATGGTCACCCCCTTCATCATCCGAATCTGCATCACTGGATTCCTCCTGGTTGGTCACAGGTTTGGCAGCCTTGGGCTTGTTCAGGAGTGCTGCAAGGTGTTCGGTCATGGAACCTGTGCTGTCAGAACCACCCTCACTTGAAGAGCTAGCTTCCTCCTCCAGTCTTTTCAACTCTTCAAGTTTGGTCTTCAAAACTGCGGCTGGTTTCTTCTTGTCTCCAGTGCATGCCTTCTCCAACTCTTCGGTCAGGTCGCGTTTTGTCACCTTGACGTCTTTGGCATCAGGCTTTCTAAGGGCTGGAGGTCTCTTGGTACTGGTACCCTTCACATTCGCTTCTGGCTGTTTGGTCTTGCTGCTGGTGCCACCAGTCTTTGGGTTGCTAGCTTTCTCCACAACGGGTTTGGTCTTGACTTTGTCCTTCTTCACTTTATGGGTAGAAGCTGTTTCAACCTTGGTATTCTTCACCTTCTCCTTTTTCTCCTTCTTCTCACTAGTCTTAGACTTGCCCTTCTTGCTGGTCGCCTCTGGAGGTGACTTACCATTGACGCGCTTGGATGGAACCTGCGCTTCCTTGGCAGCCTTTTTGGCCATGGTGGCAGGTAAGGCAGCTGGGAGTTCAGGGCCAAAGAGCTGGTGGGAAACGATCAGATACAAATCGCACGAAGATTCTCGCTTTCTCGGGTCGAGTTTGCAAAAAAAAATCAAACAGGAATTTGAAAACACGCTGCAGATTGCTTGGTACCGTTGGAAATTTTCTGGATTCTACAAATCGCCATCATTCGCGGCAAATCGCCACAGAATTCTCTCCAAATCGCCACGTTTTGGGGGACTGAAAATGCCAAAAAAAATAAAGCAGTCTCATATTTTTGGGGGTTGCAGTTCCCTTTTGCCCCAGACCTGCAAGGGATGTTGCCCAGTGGCACCTCTTCTCAACGATCTGCAGTGCTGCATTACTCCTGGAAGCGATTGTCACTGGCTGGGATCAGAGCCTTGTCCTTGAAAAAGCTGGTGAAAAGCCATGGGCTCTTGTTTGGACAGTGTTACAAGATTTCAAACGTATTGGAGAAAGATCTATTGAAGTATAGGGCCAACCTGAATGGTCGAAGATGCAATGTATCTGTTTTGCTCGAAGCCCCTAAAGTTTGTTCAACCTTCTGATTGAAGGCACTGATCGAATTTTGGCATGAGGATCGAATTTTGGCATGAGGGAGCATATTGCTTTCAGCAATGCGTCAAAACAACACAATGCATGTGTCGACACAAAAAAGGCTACTTCAGCAGCCATGGAAAGTATTTGTGTTCACTTTCCATTTTCAACTAAGTAAGCAAACACTGGGTTGAGATCTGCATGCTTAACCCAATGGGCATTCTCACGTGGACGCTTGTCCATGCGATTTTTGGTGTTGGCTGCCTCTTTGAGGAACTTCTTGGCCTGGGATCGAATCTTCCTCTTGTTGTTGGAGCGAATCTTGGACAAAGCACGGGCAAACCTGGGATTGGTGATGAGGGGGCCACTGGCCCAGTTCGGATCTATCACCTGCTAAAATGATTATATATGTTTTAATGAATATCGATAAATTTGGTCCCTTGAAATAATGTACATTTTTAGGGGGTCCAAAAGTGGTACATTTCTCTTTGGCATGGTCTTAAGCCAAACACCATTTGCAAATACCACCAAAAGACATTGCGAGGCTGGAACCTTTGCCTTGGGATTAGCAACAAATATGAACTGGGAAATGCCGAGCCCAAACACATACTGAAAGACCAGACACCCTCTTGGGTAGTGCTGGGATTTTTTTAGGTCACAGCCACCTTTGCAGCGCTGCTTGCCACTTCCATCTATGTAGCGAACTGTCATCTGGGGACCAGAGCCAGACGATACCCTGGAGGGCTTTCGCTCTGCAATCAAATCATCTATTTCACGATGACCTGAGATGGGGGATTTGGGCCCAACCACAACAACAGGGAGATGTCACCAACCCCATCTGGAAATAGGGGTGAAACCACTAGGTCCTTTGATTCAACTATGTGACATATGGGCTAACAAGTTACTATAGAGGGACACCTTGTTGAACAGCAAACAACAATATGATAACAGCAAACAACAAAATGATATCATTTGTTTCTTGCTTTTCAAGGGACTGGAGTATAGAAGTGTAGCTTTATCACTTTCACCTCCGAAATCCTTCATCTTTATTCTAAGTCGATGAATCTGAAGAAGTTGCAGAAGTCGCTGCATTGTTGGGTGAAGTTCCATTATACTGGATCCAGGTTGCTCCAAAATGGACCATATCCCTTTAGCGGCAGCTAAAAGAAAGAGAATCATCACTCGAGCTGTCATCACGTTTCCTTGGCGCACCTTTTCGGAATCAGGACGACCGAGTGGTGAATCAGCACTTCGAAGAGTCGACCCTCTGCTCCTCAAGCGTTTTGGGACGTGGTTGGTGGAAGCCTTTTTGGGTAGGTTACCCATAAAATTGTCTATTTCTCAAAATAGAAATTATTCGCAAATATCTTAGATACTTTTGAGCATCATCCATTTTGAGGTATACCCACATACTCTTTGGGCATCACCCACATAACCACATACCCACATAGATATGTGGAAAACATTGGTTGGAATATCTTTGTTGGTATTTGCAAGTAAAGCCAAGGCACATGAAAACCCATGTGGAACATACCGGTGCATGTAATGAACCACTGCCAGGCTCCAACCGAAGAATTTGGTAAACCGCATTGGCAAATCCCTGGGGTGAGAGAATGTCTTGGGAAAAGGGGTCCAGCTCAATCTCGAAAGGAATCGCATGTCTTCCAGCCTGCCGGCCGGGTATTTAGTAGCATAGGGTCCCCAAACACTAAAATAGGATATTTGATTATATCATGGATGGATGCTCTTCATGGAATTGGTTCCCCGCATTTTTTGTAGTGTATTTGATTACCGTCTGAATTCACCTACTGGACTTGTGAATCTGTGCCCAAAATGAAGCCCCATGGGGGTTTGATTAACCTTGGTGAATTTAGTGGTGCCTCCATCTCAGCCTTTGTGACTTCCATACGCCCAGCAAATGTTTCAAAGTGCTGCGTGGCACTGAAATCCAAGCCACCACACGCAAAGACCAAGCTGGCAAGCATGCCAATCACCTAGGGCCGGCTCCAAGATATGGCTGAGCTGACTAGTGTGTTTGTGTTCCTACTTGTCATTTGTTTGAACGCATGCGTTTGAAATTGATCTGGATATATGACTTCCAAAGCTTAGTTCCAAATTCTGTATTGATTGGACAAGGATTGAAGTGGATAACAGCATTACAACTAAAATGTTTTCATTGGTTGAGAGGGGAGTCCCAAAGGGCAAGAACAAACAAGGTATGAAATTCTCGAGAGTGGCCGCTGGAGCTCGCAGATGCTTCAATCCAGTCAGGACCCAGCTGCGCTGTTTCTGCTTCATGGTTCGGCGCGGCTTAGGATCACACTCCTTTGCCTTCTTCCGCTTAGGGGAATCAAGGCCATCATCATGTTCAAAAGGCATTTGTTCAAATTTGCGACGCGGCATGCCTTCTCAGATTTCTACGAGCCTACTGTATCCCAAATGTTTCGCTGCGAGTATGATGCCGGCACTGGAATCCATGTCAAAATTATCCATGCATTATGTTGGAATGTGAGGTTCAGAACATCCCCAAAGACACATTTGTTGTTATCCCCACACCTGCCGGAACCTTATCCCAGCAGTCAGCAGTCCTTGGAAATTTCACCGCTGCAACTCCTTTATGGCAACTCCTGGTTGGGAACCCCCAAGGCTGGTGTGATCATTTTGTCAACAATAATTGGCCAGGCCAAGCTATAGAATTCCAACCTCTCTGCTCTTAGCATGCTGACATGCATGAGCCCTATGCAGGATCTACAACATGCGATTCACCTTGGGATTGTTTCTCATCTGCACTTGGTTTCCGGGAGCAGTGGGAAGATGCAAACTCACAGATGGTGCGACCCCAACCATTTGACCCCAAGAAGCATATCGAGTTTCTGGTTAGTTCTTGAACTTGATATAAATGTGTTGATAGGCTTCCCTCTGATTTTTTGGGGGCAGTTTGAACATGGAAAACGCCAGCCCAATCTCCTGGCACCGCTTTGATCTTCAAATCGGTTTCTGGCATCACCTGCGTCGGGCTGCTGATATGGTTTGACAACACCCAGAAGTAAAGGTGCAGGGATTTTTTATATATATCTAACTTAGACAAAGATCTTGAAACGATACCTCTTAGTTTTCCACGAGATATGACTGGGTGTCGAACTCTGCTTTCCCATTCATATGAAACGAAACACAATCACACCTCACCAAATGGTTTTCCAGTTCAATTCACGCGGAACGATCGACTGCTATTTTACATGCTATGGAGCACCTGCAGCTGACCATTGCAGCAGCAGCCTACGCCCCATACACATGTCCACACCCATACCCATGTTTGGAAATAGGATCCACCCTCATGTTCTGAACATGAAGGATGTAGGACCACCAAATGCTACGATCCATCAAAAAGCTAAGAGCTATGATCTACCAAATCCCCAGCACATCACCATCCTTTGAGAGATGATAGGCCTGATAGGCTCATGGGGTGTTATCAAAGAAAGCCCGATTCTTGGCACATTCCCAAGCAGCTGCAACATCCGAAAAGCGGGACCAGGTGATCTGCCCAGTCAATCCCTCGGCAGGCGGGGCTCCATTGGCACACTTCTTTACTACGAAAGCTTTCTTGCTGCACAAAACCTCGATCACCTTGGGATGCGGTGCAGAGTCAATATAGGAAAGAAAATGTAATCATCTTGGTATTCAAATGCCATATGTATATTGAAAGATTGAGAGAGATATATGTATCTTACATATAAATATATGTATATTTATGTATATGTTGATAATACATATATATGTATAGATAATACACACATATATATAGATAAATTGATCATAAATAAATAAATGAATAAATAAATGAATATATATATATATATACATATTGGGTTTAGATATATATTGGTTATAGATAAATAAATATATGTATATGTATATAGATGATAAATATATATATAGATCATATATATAGATGATATATATATATATAGATGATAAATAAATAAATAAATATATATATATATAGATGATAAGTATATATTGGTGATATATACATATATTGATGATATATATATATATATATATTGATGAAATCTATCTCTATATATATAGATGACATATACATATATACATTTTTTGTTTAAATTTATTGATGATATATCTATTTAATATATACCATATTTAGTGGTAAATAATTTATTTATATATAAGAAGTATACACAGACATATATAAATATAATAATAATAATAGAAACATTTTTGTCACTACATACTAATATATATATGTTTATGTGTGTCTGAATAGTTTGTCATCGAACCCAACTTGGGAAACACATTCAAATCTTCACATGGATGTTATTCCCAAACTCCCAGATGTAAATCTACAGATAGATAAGGGGTTGTGATGTATGTCCATGAAACAAAAACGTTGTCGAATTTTGACACAAGAACTGCTTTGGTGGTGGCAGAGGTCACCGTGTATCCATGGCGTCCCCGGTTGTCTTTCTCCTTTGCTGGCCAAGCCTCCTCTGGAATGCCCAAAGCTTTCAAATCATGCCCTTTGAAAAACTGAGTCCCATCATACGGCTCGAAGGGAGCAGGTGGTTTGGTGGCACCCTTCACGTGGCCCTTCACCACTCCCTTGGCCTTCGCAGGCTTCTTCTTGTCCTGAGCGAGCGGTGCTTTGAGTGGCTTGCGAGCGTTTGTGAAGGCAAGACTCCAAAGGTTGAGAAAACTTCATTTGGGGTGCGATGATTTGACCAATTTTATCATACAAATAATTCATGTCTACTATTGTCTGTGTTAATTAGAGTTATCAGCAGGCAAGGGGTATTTGGTTGCAATGGGCTACCACCCAACATAAAAATAAACCCCAAATCATTTAACATGTAAACTTGTTCAAAGGTTCTTTGCCCTGTTTCCCGGGCACACTAGAATCATTGGCCACATTGCCCATCACATCATGGAACGACTCCAGGGGGGGCACTTCACGCTTGCCACGCACTGACGGCTCCATCGACTCATCAGAATCCATGGACTGATCCCCACTGGAGTCCTGCGATGAAACGCTGTAGCTGTGAACTGTCAACAAGTAACTTCGGTGATCCACAAACCGTTTCAGTTTAAGGAATGAATAGTGGATTGTGGTCAAATTCAATTTTCAAACATACCTGCTGGATTCATCCATGTAATCTTGAGAACTTCGTTGGTGCTGACCAAATATCATCCATCATGGTTTCTGATTTGACATGAATGGTTAGACTTGGTCGGGGTGTCCTGATCCGTGCTGGGGAAGTCAGCACCAGCCAGTGGGCGAGCAACAGGCCGCGCTTCGCATGCCTGCCATTTCAACGTTGAAAAAAAATCTATGATGAGTTTTAAAGATTTTTCATTGGATGACATGATTGAAGGTAACATCTTATGGGCAAAACTTGAATGGATCCTCATGGGGAAAAGATGGACATGACTGCAAACGTTTCCTTATGTTCGAACAAATCCTATCTTTTGGATAGAGTTGGAGCCTCCGCTATGGGATTTGGAATGTGTCTGCATAAACTTCGAAATTCCCATTTTCTGAACATTATTGGAACATTGGAACATGTCCTTATGCAGGGTTTAGGAAATGACCTGCTATCTTATGAAAGTCATTGGAATGTTTCCTTGTATCAGGGTTTGATTTTTGTTCTGGGTGAGTTCCCAAACCTAAGAGTCTATGAGAATCATTGGAACATTCTTTGGAAGGGTTTGGAATTTACATGAGTTTACTGCGGGTGAATTCTCAAACGACTGCTTTTGAATATCATCAGAACGTTTCCTTATTAGTGTTTGGAATGTATTGGGGTGAATTTCAAACAGATTATCTTATGAACATCACTTGAACATTTATTGGAAGAGCCTGGAGTTTATACGGATGAATTCAGGCATAGCCAAATGTCAAACATCATCGAAACATTTCAATTTGGAAATGGAAATTGAAATTACCTTGGAGGAATGTTGAAGATACGTTCCTATGCAGGAAACGATTTGGTTGGACAAAAATATGTCAATATACAATTGGTTCTAAAATCATATATATATATACACACTATAATATACCCACCCCCCGGCCTCTCCACCATGAGCAGATCGGAACCAAATCCAGTCCTCATAGGAACCAAGACCCTTGGTCTTGTCAGAGAGCTCACCAAACTCTGCAAACTTCTCCAGGCAGTAGTTCATGTAGTTGCTAAAGCGGGGATGCCTTGCGAGGCTATAGCATTCCATGATGGAAATGTGCAATGCACCAATCAAATTTGAACCCATCACTTTTGGTAGCGGAGCTGCGCAAAAAAGAAATAAAATGTTCCTCAGCTACTTCAACAAGATACTGCAAATCTTCCAAGCTGAAAGTCCCTTCATATTCCTCTGGGATCAGGCCGTTGAAATGCATCTCAGCGAGCACATCCATAGGCACCTTCTTCCGCTCCAATTTCTCGATGCGGCCCAAGACTTGGTAAGCCTTGCCCCACCAAGAGCCTTTGACTTGGCTATCCCTTTGGTCCTCATCTGAGTCAGACCCCTCATTTCCACGGCCTGGAAGCTCCAGCGTCTCAGCAGACAGGACACTGTCATGCTGGCTTGGCCCCTCCTCCTCGTCAGACAGGTCAGAGTTGGCAACCTCAGCCTGCACCAAGGCAGCCTCATCAGCTGCAGCTGGCTCATCGCTAGAAGAGTCGGCATCTACAACTGCAGCAGGCGCTGCAGGCTCATCTTCATCTTCATCGTTCTGCCGCGCTGCAACCTGACACAAGTCAGCGGCAAGGGTGGGCCATTGCATTTTTTGGTGCCATAGTTTTGGGTACCAAACGAAAATATGTCACCATGCACAAAAAAACATGGACGCAAACCCGCACTAGAACCAACCCTATGAGGGCTATAATCGGAAAAAGTACTTGCATCATCCACCCATGTACCTTTCGAGGTGAAGGGGTCAGCAGCGACTTGAGTTCGGTAACGTGCGGGTGGTTCCCAGTCTCAGAAGAGCGCCAAAGGGTGCGGGTAGCGCCCACCAACTTCTTCAACTTGACTCCCTCTTCCGCCGCCAGGTCCAACTTTGACAACTGGTTCTGAGGGTCCAGCAGCAAGTTTCCAGCGAACATCTGGTCCAGTCGCATCATCACATCTGTGAGGAAATAACCGCTTGGCACCCGATCTGGACTGAAGGCCAAGATGGGCTTGAGGTAGTGGTAGTTGGCAGCAACATCAGCAGCGCATGGCCTGCAGAGCACAGAGTCCAAGCGGACGATGCGGCCACCTTTCCATTCCTTCTTCTGAAGCATGTGGTGCACTGTCAGTGGTAACTCACGCATGATGCCACGGGCTACCTCGTTCACATCTGCCTCCTTCCAAGGGATACGGCCAGGACGGCAGGAGCGCCAGGGCTTCTC